GATTGATATCGGCGAATATCGATATATAGAATAGATTCTAATAACAAAGATATAGGCTGGAAATAGTACTTTAATCAAATATTCAATGCAATCCCCTTCCCCCCTGTTTGCATTCAATCTAAATTCATATTTATTTCTAGCAATGCATGACAATTCATCCAAATTAAAGTTGTCACATTTTTTGTATTACTAGTGCCAGAAAATAGTCGGGTATGTCGATATGGTATTCAAGATGGTATTGAAAGGAATGGATGTAAGCCAGATCTGTGTCCAATTAGACTTCTGTAATCAGATGGAGAGTGTGCTGCCATTCGAAACAAGGCTTACCGGCTTGCTAAAGTCATTCGAAACCGGATGTCTTCCTATGCAAGAAAAGCAGCAAGAACTGCCACAAAGAAGGCAGGAAGATCCGAAAAGTCTTGTAAGATCTGCAAACAAGTGGTGAATTATGTCTCTATGGGAATAAAGACCTTCAACCAAACCGAAAAGGAAATTATTGACTCAGTTAATCAGTTCTGTACAACGTTTTCTAGAAACCAAAAACAAGATGGAGAGGTAAAAGTCTATTCAGATAAATAAAACACCACGCTTCATTTCTGAAGACAAGCATTAGCGTTTTGTGTAACAATAAGACATTTATATTTATTGTATCTCGTTATCTTCGGAAATGGCCATGCGGAGGAGCTGTTGTTGTTGTTGTTGTTGTTGCTTTTGTTGTTGTTGTTGCTTTTGTTGTTGTTGTTGTTGAGAGTTAGAACTTCGCAGTATTATAAATTTGGGCGTAATTCATGTTCTGTTCTTGTAGATTAGGCTCGTCTATTTATTTTCCCTATTGGGCCCCCTTTCATTTAAATCGTGTAAAATGAATTAAGACCTTTATACTTCATTGATATCGGCGAATATCGATATATAGAATAGATTCTAATAACAAAGATATAGGCTGGAAATAGTACTTTAATCAAATATTCAATGCAATCCCCTTCCCCCCTGTTTGCATTCAATCTAAATTCATATTTATTTCTAGCAATGCATGACAATTCATCCAAATTAAAGTTGTCAAATTTTTTGTATTACTAGTGCCAGAAAATAGTGGGGTATGTCGATATGGTATTCAAGATGGTATTGAAAGGAATGGATGTAAGCCAGATCTGTGTCCAATTAGACTTCTGTAATCAGATGGAGAGTGTCCTGCCATTCGAAACAAGGCTTACCGGCTTGCTAAAGTCATTCGGAAACCGGATGTCTTCCTATGCAAGAAAAGCAGCAGGAACTGCCGCAAAGAAGGCAGGAAGATCCGAAAAGTCTTGTAAGATCTGCAAACAAGTGGTGAATTATGTCTCTATGGGAATAAAGACCTTCAACCAAACCGAAAAGGAAATTATTGACTCAGTTAATCAGTTCTGTACAACGTTTTCTAGAAACCAAAAACAAGATGGAGAGGTAAAGGTCTATTCAGATAAATAAAACACCACGCTTCATTTCTGAAGACAAGCATTAGCGTTTTGTGTAACAATAAGACATTTATATTCATTCTATCTCGGTATCTTCGGAAATGGCCATGCGAAGGAACCGTTGTTGTTGTTGTTGTTGCTGTTGTTGTTGTTGTTGCTGTTGAGAGTTAGAACTTCGCAGTATTATAAATTTGGGCGAAATTCAAGTTCTGTTCTTGTAGATTAGGCTCGTCTATTTATTTTCCCTATTTGGCTCCCTTTCATTTAAATCGTGTAAAATGAATTAAGACCATTATACTTCATTGATATCGGCAAATATCGATATATAGAATAGATTCTAATAACAAAGATATAGGCTGGAAATAGTACTTTAATCAAATATTCAATGCAATCCCCTTCCCCCCTGTGTGCATTCAATCTAAATTCATATTTATTTCTAGCAATGCATGACAATTCATCCAAATTAAAGTTGTCACATTTTTTGTATTACTAGTGCCAGAAAATAGTGGGGTATGTCGATATGGTATTCAAGATGGTATTGAAAGGAATGGATGTAAGCCAGATATGTGTCCAATTAGACCTCTGTAATCAGATGGAGAGTGTGCTGCCATTTGAGTCAAGGCTTACCGGCTTGCTAAAGTCATTCGGAAACCGGATGTCTTCCTATGCAAGAAAAGCAGCAGGAACTGCCACAAAGAAGGCAGTAAGATCCAAAAAGTCTTGTAAGATCTGCAAACAAGTGGTGAATTATGTCTCTATGGGAATAAAGACCTTCAAGCAAACCGAAAAGGAAATTATTGACTCAGTTAATCAGTTCTGTACAACGTTTTCTAGAAACCAAAAACAAGATGGAGAGGTAAAGGTCTATTCAGATAAATAAAACACCACGCTTCATTTCTGAAGAAAAGCATTAGCGTTTTGTGTAACAATAAGACATTTATATTTATTCTTTTTCGTTATCTTCAGAAACGCCATACGAAGGAACCGTTGTTGTTGTTGTTGTTGTTGTTGTTTGTGGTGTTCTTGTTGTTGTTGTTGTTGTTGTTGTTGTTGAGAGTTAGAGCTTCGCAGTATTATAATTATGGGGGTAATTCATGTTCTGTTCTTGTAGATTAGGCTCGTCTTTTTATTTTCCCTATTGGGCCCCCTTTCATTTAAATCGTGTAAAATGAATTAAGATCATTATACTTCATTGATATCGGCAAATATCGATATATAGAATAGATTCTAATAACAAAGATATAGCCTGGAAATAGTACTTTAATCAAATATTCAATGCAATCCCCTTCCCCCCTGTTTGCATTCAATCTAAATTCATATTTATTCCTAGGAATGTATGACAATTCATCCAAATTAAAGTTTTCACATTTTTTGTATTACTAGTGCCAGAAAATAGTGGGGTATGTCGATATGGTATTCAAGATGGTATTGAAAGGAATGGATGTAAGCCAGATATGTGTCCAATTAGACTTCTGTAATGAGATGGAGAGTGTGCTGCCATTCGAAACAAGGCTTACCGACTTGCTAAAGTCATTCGGAAACCGGATGTCTTCCTATGCAAGAAAAGCAGCAGGAACTGCCACAAAGAAGGCAGTAAGATCCGAAAAGTCTTGTAAGATCTGCAAACAAGTGGTGAATTATGTCTCTATGGGAATAAAGATCTTCAACCAAACCGAAAAGGAAATTATTGACTCAGTTAATCAGTTCTGTACAACGTATTCTAGAAACGAAAAACAAGATGAAGAGGTAAGGGTCTATTCAGATAAACAAAACACCACGCTTCATTTCTGAAGACAAGCATTAGCGTTTTGTGTAACAATAAGACATTTATATTCATTCTATTTCGTTATCTTCTGAAATTGCCATGCAAAGGAACCGTTTATGTTGTTTTTGTTGTTGTTGCTATTTTTGTTGTTGTTGTTGTTGAGAGTTAGAACTTCGCAGTATTATAAATTTGGGCGTAATTCATGTTCTGTTCTTGTAGATTAGTCTCGTCTATTTATTTTCCCTATTGGGCCCCCTTTCATTCAAATCGTGTAAAATGAATTAAGACCATTATACTTGATTGATATTGGCGAATATCGATATATATAATAGATTCTAATAACAAAGATATAGCCTGGAAATAGTACTTTAATCAAATATTCAATGCAATCCCCTTCCCCCCTGTGTGCATTCAATCTAAATTCATATTTATTCCTAGGAATGTATGACAATTCATCCAAATTAAAGTTGTCACATTTTTTGTATTACTAGTGCCAGAAAATAGTGGGGTATGTCGATATGGTATTCAAGATGGTATTGAAAGGAATGGATGTAAGCCAGATATGTGTCCAATTAGATTTCTGTAATCAAATGGAGAGTGTGCTGCCATTCGAAACAAGGCTTACCGACTTGCTAAAGTCATTCGGAAACCGGATGTCTTCCTATGCAAGAAAAGCAGCAGGAATTGCCACAAAGAAGGCAGTAAGATCCGAAAAAACTTGTAAGATCTGCAAACAAGTGGTGAATTATGTCTCTATGGGAATAAAGATCTTCAACCAAACCGAAAAGGAAATTATTGACTCAGTTAATCAGTTCTGTACAACGTATTCTAGAAACGAAAAACAAGATGAAGAGGTAAGGGTCTATTCAGATAAACAAAACACCACGCTTCATTTCTGAAGACAAGCATTAGCGTTTTGTGTAACAATAAGACATTTATATTCATTCTATTTCGTTATCTTCTGAAATTGCCATGCGAAGGAACCGTTTATGTTGTTGTTGTTGTTGTTGCTATTTTTGTTGTTGTTGTTGTTGTTGAGAGTTAGAACTTCGCAGTATTATAAATTTGGGCGTAATTCATGTTCTGTTCTTGTAGATTAGGCTCGTCTATTTATTTTCCCTATTGGGCCCCCTTTCATTTAAATCGTGTAAAATGAATTAAGACCATTATACTTGATTGATATTGGCGAATATCGATATATATAATAGATTCTAATAGCAAAGATATAGGCTGGAAATAGTACTTTAATCGAATATTCAATGCAATCCCCTTCCCCCCTGTGTGCATTCAATCTAAATTCATATTTATGTCCAGCAATGTATGACAGTTTATCCAAATTAAAGTTGTCACATTTGTTATATTACTAGTGTCAGAAAATAGTGGGGTATGTCGATATGGTATTCAAGATGGTATTGAAAGGAATGGATGTAAGCCAGATATGTGTCCAATTAGGCTTCTGTAATCAGATGGAGAGTATGCTGCCATTCGAATCAAGGCTTACCGGCTTGCTAAAGTCACATGGAAACCTGATGTCTTACTATGCAAGAAAAGCAGCAGAGGTCTACCAAGATTTGCCAGCTGTTATTGAGAGATATCATAAAGTGGTATGACGCTTTGGATACTTCCTGTTGGGAGACCAACAAGATAATGTTCTTTAATAAGTGAGACACCCCGTCTTGACTTCCGCAATTATCGGATCCGCAATAATAATCAGGTTTCTTGTGCATGCTCTTTGTCTCCACGAGGTGGGTTGCAATATGCATGAATAAAACTCGCTATTTTTCGTCCCCCGTACAACTTCAGTGAAAAGCTTGTTGATAAGTAAAGGCCAGGGGATAAACGAATGGAGATAAGAAAGGAGACTGGGATGAACGTATGACGAAGAGACTGGACTAGTAGGATTATCAGGCGATAAAAGACGATTTTGGTACGAATTTGCAGATAAGTCTTCGTTATAACTGGATTAGCAGGACATTTCTACAAAAATAAGATATGAACTCTGATTGGAAAAGGATTGCGAAGAAGAGAGAGTCAACTTTTTTTTCTCTTTTGAATTCCTACGATATAGGTTGGAAAATGATTCATTCAATTCAACTATTGAATGATATCAAAGAATAACAGCAAACATTCAACTTCCATTCTCTCCCTTATCATTTGGCAATTTGCTTTTTTAGGAAAGCGGTAAAGAGGTGACCAGTAGCAGCAATGGTAAAGCTTGCGAGCTGTGCAAAACAGTTACAAACATAGTTTACTATTCAGTAAAATATGCTAATTCAACCATCGAAGCCATAGAAGAAGCAATCAAAGTCATCTGCAATGCACAAGTAGGACCTGTGAAAAAATCGGTTGGTCCATTTTGATGCTATCAAATAATTTTCTTACAAAGAAAGCTTTGTCGAAGTCAGTCTGGCGGAATATTTTTTCATCAGACATCCAATTTCTTATCAATTTTTTGAGTTGAATGCCAGGAAGGTCTTTTTCACACTCGATCTTGCTTCGACTTTTGATTTACTTGAGATGCAATAGTTTTTCTCTTGCTTTTCATGATCCTAACTTTGAAACACCCAGTAATTGCCATAATTTATCTTGCTTGCCCAAATACTTTAGGACTCGCACGTTCTAGCTGTTTCTTTTCGCAGTTCTCCTTGTCCATTATTTTTGTGATTGTCATGTTCACGGTAAATCTTTATTATTCGTTTTAGTGCCTGTTCTACCTATCAAAAATAGACGAGATCATCCAATACATAGAGAAAGGACTGATGCCAAATGACATTTGTGTAAAACTTGGCTTCTGCAGCAAAACAGTCCACGAAACTAACAATCTATCTTGGCAAAATGTACATGTAGAATATCAGACAACTGCAAGGTCAGTGTGCCGCATCTGCCATTCCACCGAGAGGATTGTCAAGAAAGACACGAGAACAATTGAGTCAAGTATGAGATTGATGACAAAGTTCGCCCAAATAGCTTGCATCATCCCACTAAACGAAGATCTCAAGAAAAAGGTAATTGTGCAGTAATCAGCCACTTCGGCGTTTTTTTGTTTGATCTGCTCTCTAATGTCTTTTAAGGAGCTTACTTCGAATTCCCCCGCTCTAAAGAAATTTACTTCGGAGTAAGCCTCGCTTGCTGGAAATGAGGGATTTTGAGATACATTGTTGTTTTTACTTTGCAGTTTGAAGTAAAACATTTTTGTGATTTCCTATTGGATAGTATGTATAAAAAACATTATTTATCTTGACTGGGAACTGGTTTTAATGGATGCTAGTTTTGCAGTACTGGTACCCTGACCCTAGGCGAACGATGGTTTACTCAATTTTAGTCAAGCAACTGACCAGTTAATCTGATGTTTACCTATCTAGATTCGCTATGTATCCTGCCCTTTCAACCCAGCAAAAAACATACCTCCTTGTCGTTACCAGTTTACAGGCTACTTGATATCTCTTTGATCTTTTATCATCGCTTTTATGCAGAATGAATTATCTTGTTATGATATGTATCGAATTATGTGCCTTTTTGTTTCAGTGCTCGTATGCAGCACAAGTGCTACAGTCAGCTGAGCAATTAAGAAAACAGATACTGGATCCAAGTGAATGCAAAAAAGTCATCTGCAACAAGCCTTTTATTATTGCAATGCACATTGCAAAGAATACAAATAACCAAGTCTGCGATATATGCCGTTACGCTGAGAACATGTTGGTGAAAAGGTTTCAAAATCTCGATAAAACAATGCAGATGTCCTTGTCCGAAGTCGATAAGATCTGTGATATGATTCCTTACAGCAGTCTATCATCAAGGGTAATGCTTTTTTCTTCTAGGATGCTTGTATAATCCGAGCTCGTGTTAAGTAGAATTTTAATCCTTTCGACCGAAGTTCAGTGAGAAAAATATTGCCAGGTCACTTGGCAATCAATTTGGTATTTCAAGAATCTAAGATATGTGAATCTTTCACCTTAAAAATACAATTAAAACTACCACGATCGTTGATCTAGTTGATTCATTATATTTTGTGTTAGACTTGACAAACGATTACAATGGAGCATTTTGCATGGCAGATTAAGTAACGACCATTGGTACAGTATGAGATTCAATTAAATTGCATTATAATGAAATTAAATAGCGTTTTCATATCACATTTCTAGTGCCACTCCTATGTCAACCGTACCAAAACTGCTTGTGACAATATTGTGGAGAAGTTGAAGTCGGCCAACTTGTGTGTCAAACTGAGATTATGTCCCAAACAGATTGAAGATGAAAAAGAGAAAGAACAGAAGACTGGAAAAGGAGGAAAAATCTTCCAGCATTTTTTCAAAGGTGATGGAGAAAACCCCATCTGCAATATCTGCGTATCATCTGTCAAAGCACTCCAAGTTAAAATGGGGAGACGCTGGAATGCACAAAAATTTGCAATGCCGTGTGCAAGATTGGAAAGGATTTCAGGAAAAAGAATTGTAAGGATATATACTCAACCGATTGGTGATGTTATATTATTTTGGTGTATATATCCCGCGTCCCGCGTCCATGAACTATAGATCCCGCGTCCATGATATATAGATCCCGCGTCCATGATATATATATCCCGCGTCCCGCGTCCATGATATATAGATCCCGCGTCCATAATATATAGATCCCGCGTCCCGCGTCCATGATATATAGATCCCGCGTCCCAGAAAAATAATAAATTGTCTTTTGCCATGGTCTTTTATAACATCTTTATTTATATACATAAATGTATATTTGCATAGGCTGACAGGAGGAAAATATTTTCCACAAGGGGTTCTCCCCCATGATTTCAGAGTATAGAACCAGAAACCGTGGAGACCTGCCAATTCCCAAAGTTAGGTTAGAGTATGCAAAGCGAGGTTTCTATTTCTCTGATGTCAAAAACTGGAATGATATCCCTAACAACATTCGAGAAAAAGAATCCATCGCTTGTTTTAAAACAGGTTTTAGAGAGTATCTTTCGAACCTTTCACAGGACCCAAACACGACCCCTTGGTAGAGCAGCAATATGCAAATTGTTCTTTTTTTAATAGTTCTTTTTTTTATAAATAGTTCTTTTTTGCTGAAAGGTATCTCGTGTAAATTAATATTGATTGATTGCTGCCCAATTGTATCCAATCAATCTTGGTCAGAATCGAACTCCAATTTGCTGCTTCAAAAACCAACGCTCTTATTATATAAAATTCACTATGAATATAAAATAGATTTTATGCTTTTGTGATTTTATTTTTTTACTTAAATGCAGCAGCTGTAAAAGAGAGGTCTTGAAGTTGATCTATTGGTAGAATGTTGAATATTCCTTCGCTAAGGCAGTAATCGATTTTTTATCTTTACTTCTATTTTCATATTTTCTGTTTGATGATTGAAATATCAATTACATTTGCTAGCTGCACATGCCTTTTTGAAACCGACGAATGATTTTTTTTGTTTTTATAACATGGCCAAAAGATTCCTTTTTCTGATCGCATGATATTTGCGTGATAATGTTCTCATATGTGTTACTCGTCTTTTCTCTGTCAGTGCTCGAAGTTCCACATAAATGCAAAGATTGGCAGGATCAACTGGAGGGAATCGCCAGAAAAAGTTTGCAAGAGGATGCGACTGTGCGATGATAAATCTTCCGTGGTTGGTCTTTTTGCTACCATTGGAGGGCAAATGATGAAGGTGTTTGGTTAAAGTTTGGTGAAGATTTAGGCCTTTGACTGTAACGACTTTCAAACGTTTAAGGTTTTTTAAAACTTTTTTGCATTTGTATTCCCGTTTCTACTTCTTGAATCAATATTGTATATTTGTTCATGTTGATTCCGAGTTTAGTGGCATAATTACTGCCATTTTCTTGTTATATCTTTTTATGCTTCAATAATATTTTTCTTTTTTATTGAATGCTGTTCTTATCCATTGCTTGTCTAAACAGCTAAGGCCACCGCAAGCTATTGTGCTCAAGAGGGGGGGGGGGGGGGGGGGGGGTGTCAAAGTCTTAAATTCCGCCAAAGTTAGTAAACTACCTTTTATCTGCCGACGACCCACTAGATAGCTAAAAGCTTTCCGTTTCTTAAGGTGGACGTATGGCAGATTTTGAGAAAGAATGAAAATTTTTTCAAATTTATTTTTTTGTGTTTTCTTGAGAGTTTAATATCTGTAGCGATATAATCAGCTTGATTTGGTTGGAATTTGGCTCAAAAAGTTGCAATAATTGGCGTTGCAAAATGCTTACTACCCTTAGCAACGCAAAAATTGTGTTGCTAAGGGGCCGTTTTGGGACTTTCCCCTCTGAAACTTGTTACATTTCGTGCCGTGCCAACTATTTTCCTACTTCATTGAATTGAATGAATTATGTGTCTTCTACATCAAGAACTACCGCAGCAAAATGACAAGATTTACTTTGACAAGGTCATTTCTTTCGCTCACATACTTTGTAGGAAGGAAATAGAAGATTTTTTGGTACTTGAATATTATAAAAACTTGTTTTTGGAATGCCAGGGAATAAGTCGAGAAGTAAGTACGCCAGGAAGAGAAAGTTTGTTGGCCTTAGAAGACAGGATATCAAGAACGATGACGATAACGAAGAAAGGCCTAATGAGAATGACTCTAGGCCAGGTGGAAGCTCTACGCCAGATAAACTCAATAGGTCATTTGAGAAAATTTCCGAAAACTGTCCCATTTTGAAGTCAGAAAGGGAACAAGTCCTTACACGACAGAAGGCTTTTAATCTTGGTTTGACAAGCACTGTTTCACATCCAAGCACAGAGGCATTTGGCAACAAGATTATTAATTCAAAGTTGTTGGATATGGCTCTGGAAAAGATAGCCGTCTGCAAAATGTGTAAATCTTCAAATGGCTGTTTGAAACTTTTTCAAGTGGATCGAAGGAGATCTGGGCTGGATGAGTCACTTTATTTGGAATGTCAAAACTGCCATTACAGTGTCAATTTCCATACAACTGAGAAGGTTGACTGCCTTGGCAAGCAACATTCAGAAATAAATCTCAGACTTACTCAAGCAGGTTTTTATACTGGCAATGGACAAACCAACCTTCAAAGACTTTGTGGTATGCTAGATCTACCTCCCCCAGTAAACAATTCTTCATACAATGACCATCTTAAAGATCTAGAACTTATAAGTGCTAAAGTGACAGAAAACAGCATGGCTCAAGCAGCATTTAGATTAAAAAGTATTCTGAAGGTCAAAGAAGAGGAATGTAAAAACTTAGATGTTGAGGAAGATGTTTTTCCCATTGCTGTTTCTGTAGATGGTACTTGGCAAAAACGCTATGGGCATTCTTCCTTGCATGGTGTGGTATTTGTCATGGCAATTGAGACAGGGGAGGTTCTTGATTATGAGGTCAAATCAAAAGTTTGCTTTGAATGTAAGGCCAGAGCAAAATGGGACAAAGAGTCAGAGAAATTTAAAAGCTGGTTTGATAAGCACAAAGACAAATGCCTCATAAATCACACACTGTCGTCTGAAGCAATGGAAAAAGAAGCAGCAATCACTATTTTCAAACGCTCAGTAGAAAAGCATAAGCTAAAATACACCATTTATGTAGGAGATGGAGACTCTTCATCGTTTTCAGAAGTTTCCACAGCATTGTTTGAAGAATATGGCTCAGAATACCAAATTTCAAAGGAAGATTGTATTGGCCATATACAAAAACGCATGGGAAGCAACCTAAGAAAATATAAAAATAAATCCAAAGGCAGAAAGCTCGAAGATGGTGCTACAGTTGGCGGACATGGTAGACTCACTGATGTAGTTATAGATTCAATTCAAAACTATTATGGTCTTGCTATTCGCAACAACCTTGGCAATGTGAAAGCTATGGAAAATGCCATCTGGGCAATATTTTTTCACATGATTAAGTGCCAAAATGAGGATATTGCTGTACAACACAAGTTCTGTCCTTCTGGAAAGGATTCCTGGTGTAAATACCAGAGAGATATTACAAGCGGAACAAATACATACAAGCCATCAAAGTGCCTACCTGATGTGTTTAGAAAAGAATTGAAGCCAATTTTTGAAAGATTGTCTGAAAAGTCACTTCTACAACGATGCTTGAAGGGTTACACGCAAAACCAGAACGAAGCTTTGAACAATATTCTTTGGAATAAGTGTCCAAAACGAGTTTTTTGCGGTAATCGCAAGATGAATTCTGCCTGTGCTAATGCAGTGCTGATTTGGAACCAGGGAGCAGGAAGCCAGATCAACTTGCTAAAAGCAATGGGGATAACAGAGCCTGGGGTTAATACGATCAAGCTGTTGAGAAATGAAAATGCGAAAAGAATTTTTGATGCAAGCAGGAAGTGCAAAAGCTCATACCAGAAACGCCGAAGGACCTTAAGACACGAGAAGAAAAAGGGCACTAAAACAGGAGAACATTATTCATCAGGTGCATTTTCCTGTAGCAAACCAGCAAGTCAGAGAAGGTCAGACAAAAAAAGAAACATATCATTGATTGAAAAGCCTTCTGAAAGAGAGGTGGAAATAGAGTTTGTAAACGAAGAAAGTATTTCTGTCAGCATACACCCAGCAAAGAAAAGAAGAGCAATGAAATAAACTTTATATGAAACTGAAATCAGGATAAGAATCTATCCATTGTAAGTTAGAAGTCACTTTTTCATTTAACATTAAAAAGTTCTTTTCACTGTACCTAATATGTCTTATTTACTGCATGGAAAACTTTAAATGCGATTTTTGAATTTACGGACGTTTTTACTCAAGAAAGGTTTTCTGATGAACAAGAAAAGATATCAGCACCAAATTTGGCAAGAAGAATGGTTTCAATGAGCTTATTGTTTTGTACAGACAAAATTTTGCTAAGTCAAATAGATGAACCAAAATCAAAGAAAATAGTGTTTCTCTGTGTATCTATGGCAACGGTTGCCATAGAAACTTTTTATCAATACAAAACAAACACTATACCATGAGGACCTTTTTTACATATCAGCTGCTTCTGTAACATTTTTATTACATTTTTAATAATTTCTTATGCATGTTTCACTGCCGGACTATTCTGGTCTGTAGAATACACCATGGTCATGTGACCAATTATTTTAAACTTCAAAAATTTTCTTTAGTTATTAATGATCATTATTGGAAAGTTTCATTTCAAAATTTTCAAGTTTGAAGGTTGTACAACCATTAGTATCAAAACCTCCATGAAAATGAAAATCTGCCATACGTCCACCTTAAATCGATTTTTGTGAGGTGGGGGGGTTATACACTTCTACGTGTGGATGCGCGTAATCTGTAGATTTCATCTTTGTGTAAACGCATGACAGCTTTATTGCGCTGCGCTGGATAACCTCACAGTGCACTCTTTTTATTTCCCGTTTATATAAGCACGTGAAGATTTATTTTTATGTCAACTTAAGACGTTGCTTCCTCGGTCTTGCAGAATAAAAACAACAAGTAAAACATGTGATTCCGCTAAAGCATTTACTGCAAAACCCAGATTGTGCAAAAAAACTATAATGGCGACATATTTCGGATTATTGGCAAAGCCCGATCGTCGTTCTATCTAACAGTTTTGGATTCTATCTACATGAAAAACCGCTATTGTGTAGACAGAAGGAGTTCGTGTTGATCTTACTGGAGTCCCATTGGTAACATTTTCAATAGACAAGTGGGACTGATTGGTCAACCTCAACAGTCATGTGCTCGGGTTTCTGATTGGCTGTATATATATATATATATTCCTAGCGTAGAGTTTTCGATCTATGTTCTGACGTTCTATACTCTGAAGAGTGTCAGATAAGAAGCTTTAGTATACTGAAATGTTTGCTCTTTTTAAAGCCATTTTTAAGTTTTGTAACACCAAAAGATTGTTTTCATACATTTTATTAATTTAGAATCAGCAATTATGCTAGGCGATGTTTAGAAGACACTTGCATTGAAAGTCTTTACTAGTGACGAGTAATCATACATCAAAATGGACAATGTGACCTATGAAACCCTGACTTAGAGCTTTTCGTATAGGACATAGAAGTACTGACAACTTTTCACAAAATTTTTTTCACTATGACGACACCGGTGATAAAGACTGGTGCCAAGTCAAAAGAAAGCAAGTCGGAAAAAATTTATTTAGAAAACATGCTGGTCTTAATGAAAGAAGAATTTGAGAATTGGGTGCTTGAAAGAGATTGCCAAGCTTGAATAATTCATCTAGCAAGGCTGGCAAAAAAGGAAGAGGGGCTTTTTTCATTTTCATGTAATACATATCTGCATGAAAACAAACTGAAACTCATCTTCCTCAAAACTCTTCTCTAAGTTGCTGCAGCGCTCCTTTCATCAAAAGCTAACACACACTTTCCTTCTGATAAGAACAATTTTGTAAGAACACGAGCCTCAAAATATACCAAATGTTAAGAACAAATTATGAACAAGCTGGGGCTGAGCTACTGTAAAATGCCATTTTGAACAACAATTTATCTCAAAACAAGGATTTTTAGCCACGGTGAAAGTTCAAATTTGTCGGCAAATTAAGGCTGTCTCACTCACTTTGTTGGCAAATGAGGCCTGAAGCGAAAAGCTAGCATCCACCATGCTTATAACCTATTAATTTAAGAACAAATTAAGAGCAATCCAGCCTCAGATTTTCGAAAAAGTTAAGAACACACAGTCTGAACTTAAATTTACTGGTTCTTATAAAAAGGGAGAGTGTATATCACGGCACGATAGATGCCTTATTATTTAGCCACGGAACAGCCATGCTGTTTATTTACTTTTACTTACTTAGGCAACATTGCATTTAGTCAACTTTCATTCTGTATCTGCCTCTGTTGTAAGGGTACCTGTAGTTGTATCTGTAGTTAACGTGTCAATGTTTAAAAAATATTTCGAGTTCAAGTCTGTGTCCAGACGTGGA